AGGGGCGAAACGTTTCTTTTTAACAAAAAAACGAAGTCCAGATGACATGATTCAACCTTTTTTGTTCAAACTCAAAGTAGTTTCCCACAAGCTCTCATAACTGTTTTCTGTGACAATTTTGTGCTGGCTAAAGTTTTTTTAAATACTAGTATAGTATATAATAATACTAAAATAGTAGTTTTCTGGAGCCTTTGCATCAAAGACAATAGGCTGAACCACTCCAAAACAATGAGGTTATTAAACACTTTGTGTACTGAGCCTTATAATTCAACCTCTGCAGAAAGAACATTAAAGGACTTCAGTTTGGTCTCAGTGCATTTCTCTATCTTTGGATTGTGCAAATACTACAGACTTTACATTCATTATATTTTTAATTTATTAATACAATATACAAAGGTTTGTGCTGCTGCTTCAGGTTTTTAAGAACTGTCTCTAAATCAAGAGTTCTTCATTGTGTTCAACACAGGGATTTCTTTCACTGGATTTTACATTGGGAGTAGTTTATCACCTCTAGTTGTTTAATTTAATTTGTCACTTTTGGTTTCCTTAAATCTCTTTCAGGCACTGATTAAGTTCAAGAGCTACCTGTACTTTGAGGAGAAAGACTACGTGGACAAAGCAGAAAAAAGCCTGAAGCCAATAAGCCTCAGCAGGGTCAGAATGCCTTTTCAAAGTCAAATCCAGTTTTAGAAAGATTGCTGCTGCTGTACTCAACAATCCTGTTTTTTTTTTTTTTGTTTTGTTTGTTTTTTTAGATGGTGTTCTATAAAAACGGAGTGAATCAAGGTGTTGCGTTTGAAAACCTGTTTGAAGGCCTCTACTTTCCTGCCATCTCCCTGTACAAGAGCTGCACGGTCAGTACAGACAGGGATATTTTCATCTTTCAGTTTTTTTTACACAGTTAAAACTTAAACCATTCTTTCTTCAGGTTTCTGTCAATTTTGGGCCACGTTTTAAATACCCACCAAAGGACCTGAAGTACCAGCCGGTGAGAACTTTTCTCCTTATAGATAGGCCTCACAAAGCGTTTGAGCTGTCAGCAATCAGTGCCTTTCTATGTACAGATGAGTGACATGGGGTGGGGAGCAGTGATTGAACACACACTGGCTGACATGTTGTACCATGTGGAGACAGAGGTGGATGGACGGCGCAGCCCCCCGTGGGAAGGATGAAAACATGCTGAAATCAGAGCTTCAACGTCCACAGTCAAGCCACGATTCCACTTTTAAGCAATAAACTTTAATCTGTGTTGCTGTGGTGTAGATGAAATCAACAGCTTTTCATCTTTTGTGATATTAAGTGTTGGACAGACAGGAAGTTAACACCTCACTAAAAATGATGATGCCATGCTAATAACGGTTGGCTGTGAAACAAACATTTCTCTCTGAACTTCTGCAGCTGAATGAACAGATTTTTGATGTTCTGGCATTAATTGTGCAAACCTCAGCAACTTGAACACACATTTAAGTTGTCACGTTGCACACCGGATGTTTTGTGTATTCAGCCAAACAAGCTGTTTTCGTCATTTTACATCTCTGCAAGTGTGAAGTCTTTAGTGTTTTCCATCTTTTTGGTAGTTTTATTTGTTTAACAAGGTGTGCTAGTTACTGTTTTATACTTTGGGTTAAATAATAAATGTTAAACCAAGTTATATAGACTTGTGTGAAATGAATTTAAAGCAGTGCTGTTTAAATGAAATACACTTTAAATGTAATCTTTCACATCAGTTGTCTTTTTTAATTCCAAAAAGTAACAAAGATGATTCATTAATCTCCACAATATTTTTTTTCATTCAACCTTTATTTAGACAGATAAGTCACAATGAGCCTAGAAGATTCATTTACAAGTGAGATATGTTTAGACAGACAAAAAGTAGTGAAACTGGACACATGTAGGAATTGGAGGAAAAATTATTCCTATCAGACTTTTTTTTTCTTGGCTGAGAAGAAAAAACAATAAAAAAACACCTCACACAAACAAGCACATAGTGACGCAGACATTCCGCAGAGGGGGGAGACGACGAGAGCAATGAGCAATGTTCATAGACGCTCTCGAGGGCACTGTAAGAGTTCTGATAAGGATATAATAATCAACCAGTGTCCTCCGGTGAGATCCGTAAACAAACATTCTCGAAGGATGTCAGGGAATGGCCAAGGACAACGCCTATGGGAATCTAAGAATCCTGAAATGATGACACAATGTTTATTCAGCTGGTTTCCTCTTGATCAGTTGGAAATTCCAGGGGGTGAGCGTCAGATTACATGTTCTCCAGGCAAACACGCAGTTGTTTTGGGGACAAGCAGAACTTAATGACATCTACCTTGAGTCTGTGCTGGTCCTAACGGTTCTGAAATGTCCAAATTACATGGCCACACCGATGGAATGTGACTGAGTAAAATCCCCGAGATCTGATCCATTCTGCCCAATGCATTTGAGTCTGGGTACTCGAGGCACGAACTAAGCCATCATAAGGCAAGCAGCATGATCGGGTCCAAATTTGCTGCAGACAACTTCCTTGATTGTAGATAAAGCCAGCATCCAGCCAAATCCAAAAAGCAGGAACCAGTTATAAATCCAATTATAAATGCATCCTTAAAATCCATCAATGACAGCAGAGATAGACACATCAAGTCTTCAAGTCGATGAAATATCCAGCTGCATGCGTGCCAACGGGGCAAATTGGCTCGTCTAAAGTCTCTCTTCTCTTCGAAGCAAGCAACAAAGCGGAGAGGAGGGGAAGCGTCCGACCTCTGGTAAGAGCAAGTGGTTAAGTGACAGTTACATGTCTACTCTGTGAGGCCTTCAGAGATGACTTTCAATTCTGTTGTCTGAATGAGAAACAATATCTTGTTTGTATTTAAGATAGGATTTCACATACATTTTGATCACAACTGATACCAGTTAGGAAAGATATTGATTCCTATGATCAGTTGCACATTGATTTGTGTCAATTTTATTTTCTAATACAGTCATATCTGCTTTTGATGCTGTTGACCAGAGTATCCTTGTATCACAGTTAGAACGCTGGTCCAGCGTTAGATGGTTTTGTTCTTATCTGAGTGACGGGAGCTTTGTGTTAATGTTGGTAAAACAGTAGTCCCTCGTTTACTGCAGGTGTTGGGTTCCAACCCCCCCCCCCCC